ATTTTTACCAAGTAAAAAATACGTACAAAAGTTTAATTGACCGTACAAAAAACAAATATCTTGACAAATTGAATACAGATATTGAATCTGGTAAAATTCTTAACTGGAAACAATTCAAAAAACTGAAAAAATTTAAAGGAAGAGTTGACAAATTTGATTGCCATGACATGGACAACTTTCAAAAATTCTTTGGTAAACTTTATGCCAATGCACATAGCACCATAACTGTAGAGAATAAGGAAGAAATGCTTCAAAATGCAGAGGCTATTAACAATAATTTCCAACCATCCCCTGCACAATCAATACTCAATGGCCAGATCTCTGTGGACGAAATATCTACTGCGATCTCTTCACTCAAAAACGGCAAAAGTTCCTCGGAGGATATGATATGTAATGAAATACTGAAGACTTTGTCCACAACAAACACACAACTCCTTTGCAAAGTCTTTAACCGCTGTTTGGACACTGGAACTTACCCATGGAACAACAGCATTATTACACCCCTACACAAAAAAGGCGACAAAGATAATCCAGACAATTACAGAGCAGTTGCTGTGAGTAGTACAATCGGAAAACTATTTTCGACCATCATGTTAAACAGGATAATCAAGTTCAAAAATGAATACAACCCGGACCCCATAAATCAACTTGGCTTCGCTAAAGGAGCTCAAACATATGACCACATACTCACACTCAACACCATTACGTCTAAATACAAAAAGCTCAAGGTTCCCGTCTATGCTGTTTTTGTGGACTTCCGGAAGGCCTTCGACTCTGTTTGCCGTGAAGCTCTTTTCTTAAAATTAGCTAAACTAGGTATCACTGGCAAAACATTTAATGTTCTTAAACATATGTATAAAAATTCCACTGGCCAGATAAAACTATCTGGATTTGTCAGCGAAAAATTTGATATCAATAAAGGAACTGAACAGGGTCATCCACTTTCCCCTGATCTATTTAAGATATACATCAGAGATCTTTCCCCTCGACTAGAATATGATAACTGTCCGAAACTAATGAACCAACTTATCAGTCACTTACTATGGGCAGATGATCTGATACTCTTGGCACTGGACCCCAAAACCCTCCAAAAGCAACTCGATGCTTTGAACAATTTCTGCTTGGAATGGGGCGTCGAAATTAATGCAGATAAAACTAAACTCATGAAATTTAATGCCCGTTTTGATACTTATCAGCCGGTTCCCCTCAAAATTGGTGATCACTTGTTAGAAGAAGTCGAGTCATACTGCTATCTAGGAATCGAAATACACAAATCCGGCACATTCACAAATGCCCGAACTGAGCTCAAAAAGAAAGCCATGCGTGCACTTTATGCCATGAAAAGCTCAGTAAACAAATCCAAATTATCATTCCGCTCTCTAACAACACTCTTTGATGGTCTTATTAAACCTATCGTTCTTTACGGAGCGCCTATTTACACACCTAACATGGCTATCATAAAACACATAACAAAACAAGTCGATCTCAATATGGATGCCGACACAAAAACAAAATTTCAAACTAGTATCCTCAAGAAAATTAGCCTTCTGAACAGCGAAAAAGTTCACCTTCACTTTCTTAAATGGTCACTGGGGGTAAATCGTAAAGCCAGCAACGCAGGCGTCTGGGGTGAGTCAGGCCGCTACCCATTAATCTATGAATGTATTAACCTCACTCTCAAATATAGCCAACGTTTGAAAAATCTCAAAGATAACTCCCTTGTCTCCTTAGCTTTCAAAGAACAGATGAACATGAAATTGGACTGGTACAGGGGTTTGGAGCCTGTCCTCGCGCTAGACCCATGTTTCTCTACCGATCATGTCACAGCCTACCGCACACTCAAAAACAATCACTCCAAGTTACTTTTCGAAAGAAACCCGAGTATCGCAAAACCACCAAAAGAGGACTTTCTTATTCACAACGGTTTCAAGAAACGAATTCCTCCTCAATCAACACAACCCATCGGGAGTAAAATATTCACACCACACGTCATTACTAAAACTTTGAAATGTAACTTTAGAGAATATTGGGGGTCCTGTATCAACACTTCTCGGAAATTAGAATTCTATCGTGACCTAAAATCCAAATTTAACAAAGAGTATTACCTAGATAGTGTCATTAAATATGCAGACCGTGCTAATATCACAAGACTGCGGATCAGTGCACATCGACTCGAAATTGAACTTGGCCGATATAATCAAACTCCACGTGACGAGCGAATATGCTCCTGGTGCAATATAGTCTTAGGTTCTGGTATTATTGAGAATGAAGACCACTTCCTTAACCATTGTGATCTTAACGCTGCATCGAGGCGAAAAGTCCTAGACAAGATCCAGTCACTCATATCAAATCCAATCAAACCGTCTGCGACATCTTATTCTGTTCACAATGTCATCCCTGGAGCAAACGTCCTCAAATTCATCAGCAACAACAGTGAAATCATTGAACTTATCACGAACGAAAGTCAAGTCCACCTCACGAGAGTCGTTGCTAGGTTTGCCACTACGTGTTTTAACAACCGCAAGAAATTTGTTGACTCTCTGGCCAGTACATGAACAGTGAACACTGAAAATCACTGTACCCGCTTTTGTTTCTTTTCGCGCAACGACGAGTGCAAACTGCAAAGTGACCTGGCTCAAGCATTACAGCATTACCAAGGCGACTGAAAACAAAATATTTTATGTCAAATCTTTATTTTTCACTTTAGTTAAGTTATATTAATATAATAAATTCAAATCTTATGATATTGTTATTATCTTAACAGTTACTATTGTAGCTCAAGATTTTAAATTTGTATTCCTTGTATTCCTTGTATTCCTTGTATGATCTGATACAGGCTGATGGGGGTCCATAACAACAAGAGCTGCCATAACTTTTGACATGATCTCAAATGTTGCAATATCATACGTACTGTATGACATATCTCGTTATCGATACTATATAACTTTCAACAGACGACAGGAGACATCATCATGAACGACCATCTACACTTCACAACTATAGCAATGGAATAATACGAACTTTTCAACCCAATTCCCATATCCCTACCTAGTCTACCCCCATCTAGTATCCAACCTCTACCCCTTGAAGCTTACATCAACCTGGACGACATCCTTACCCCGGCCTCCTGCACGAACCTTCTAGAAGTTCTAACCACATCCCGAGGGAAGCCCATGATTGTTCCTTATGTGGTCTACGACGAGATTACATGCTCTACAAAATAGCTTCCCATTGTCAGCATAAAAGTGATAAAACGATGGTTTGCCAAATTCAGCCACTCTCGTGGAAGCTGTTACATTGCCCTGTTTAGCCTGTTTCGAGCGTTTGCTAGACGAAGGTCCAGCCACCGAAACCTTCGTCTAGGCGTTTGACAAAGCGGTCCATTATAACAAGCGGATACAATATCAAGCGAATAACGATGACGAAATATCTGACAAGTGACGATTCAATAACAACACTGATTTAACATACTGTTCGATTTCTTAATCCATTGTATGTCTTCTGGTCAACTTTATGTCGTTTGGTCAAGTTTTTTATGTCTACTGGTCAACTTTATGTCGTCTGGTCAACTTTATGTCGTTTGGTCAAGTTTTATATGTCGTTTGGTCAACTTTATGTCGTCTGGTCAAGTTTTATATGTCTACTGGTCAACTTTATGTCGTCTGGTCAAGTTTTATATGTCTACTGGTCAACTTCCATATACGATCTCGGAAGGCAGACCTCCCCTTCGCAATACGAGCTCGGAAGCGGGAGCTCCGCCTTCAGAGGTACGTATCGAGAATGACTCGGACAGAAAATTTTTCTAAGTCAAAACTTTTCAAAATTTTTCTGGAAACTACTTTTGTTCATGTTTCATGCTACCCTGATCATTATGAGCCGAAAATATTTTTTCGGTTTTCAAAGGTCACACATACCCTTCGATACACGATTTTGGACTCGAGGGCTCCCCTAGCTTGTAATGCGATCTCGGAAGGCAGGCCTCTCCTTCGCAATACGAGCTCGGAAGCGGGAGCTCCGCCTTCAGAAGTACGTATCGAGAATGACTCGGACAGAAAATTTTCTAAGTCAAAAATTTTCAAAGTTTTTCTGGAAACTACTTTTGTTCATGTTTCATGCTACCCTGATCATTTTGAGCCGAAAATATTTGTTCGGTTTTCAAAGTTCACACGATTTTGGACTCGAGGGCTCCCCTTATAATGCGATCTCGGAAGGCAGGCCTCCCCTTCGCAATACGAGCTCGGAAGCGGGAGCTCCGCCTTCAGAGGTACGTATCGAGAATGACTCGGACAGAAAATTTTCTAAGTCAACATTTTTCAAAGTTTTTCTGAAAACTACTTTTGTTCATGTTTCATGCTACCCTGATCATTTTGAGCCGAAAATATTTTTTTCGGTTTTCAAAGGTCACATACGCTTCGATACACGATTTTGGACTCGAGGGCTCCCCTTCACCCTTGTAATGCGATCTCGGAAGGCAGGCCTTCCCTTCGTAATACGAGCTCCGGAAGCTCGGAAGCTCCGCCTTAAGAGGTACGTATCGAGAATGTACCTACAATCGGAATTCGGAACTCACGGAAGGCTGTAAATGTGATTAGTTTCATATTATACTTAATACTTGTAGAAAACGTGACATTTGGCCCGCAGATTTTATGGAAAATACGAAAACTTGGTCCTCAGATTTAAAGGAAAATGCACAAATTTGGTCTTCAGATTTAAAGGAAAATGCGCGATTTTTCAAGGAGGACTGAAAAAATCGCGATTTGTCGCGGAGAATGGGAAATTTCGCGATCTGGTGCGGAAAACGTAAAAAATCGCGATTTGTCGCGGAGAATGGGAAATTTCGCGGTTTCGTACATGCCGCGAAATCCTTTTGTCCCTGCTGACTAACAATATATATATATATTTGGTATTTATTTATTTCTAGAGGGTTTCAAACTACTTATAAACATAAGGTTATTATGATTTGTGTTACCATGGTAACCTACCTAGTGTTAATATTGCAGGAGAAAGAGAAGAAGACTCCAGAAATTATGGGACACAAAAGAAAAAGAAAGACAGAAAGCTATAATAAAACTCAGAGAGGACAATTTCAAAACGGAGAAAAAGCGGGTTCAAAGTTCAGATTGGTGGGACTGGTATGTTCCATATGACAACAAGCCCATGCAGTTCTGATTCATTACGTCACATCTGATTGATGACAACGTCAGAAAGACAAAAAGTGGTTGTTGACTAGTATGTCATGAGAAGAATGCAGCCGCGTGGCATTATATTCATTTCCCTTCCATACCAATGAGATGATCAAAACATTGCGGTCGTGACAATTTTTCTGATGTTACTTGAAATGAATCGCTACATTTGATATGTTTACTTTTAGGTACTAAACAATAGGGTTTAGCGGGGAGGTGGCTTGTTTTGAAACCCAGTATCGGGGGGGGGGGGGGGGGGGGCAGTATCGCTGTAACGTCACAAGACACATTAAAACAAATTTGCATCATCTCTCAACGTCTTTTAACTCATCACATTTTTCTGATTTTGTATCTTGAACGGTTTACTTAAGACCCCAATATACTGCCGTTCCCTGAGAAAACGCATTAAGTCCATTTTTTCGAAATTTTGAGATATTGGTACCAAAATTTTCAGGAGAAGATTCTCTACAACTTAAGCTATGAATCAAGTTATCAAAATACTGTTTTAGCTGCCGCGAAAGGCATTAAGTCACACAAAACGTGAATATTCAGTTCGTTATTCCAAAACCTTCCCTGAGAAAAGGCATTAAGTCCATTTGTAATGCCTTCTCTGAGGGAACTTTTTCTGTTCCTTGAGATTCCCTGAGAAAAGGCATTAAGTCCAGACTTTATTTGCAGTTTTTATAGTTTTTGGCCTATAACTTCCACAGTTTTAGTTATATCAAAACAATTTTTATGTGGTCGTAATCAGCTCAGCAAGCAAACAATTTTGGTACTAATATTTCAAAATTTAAAGAAATATTATTTTCAAAATTTTTGAACCTGAACACAAGGGTCCCCCCTTGTGTGAATTATTGAAACATTTTTTGAAAAATTTGGTGCTTTAAATATTGTATGTTTAAATATTTTACCCAAATTAATGCGTCTGACCGAGCTGAATACGATGCTGTAAAAATTATTCCAAAATATTTGATGTTTAAGAAGTTATAGGCATTTTGAGCGAAAAATTATCCATTTTTCGTCAATATTACTTACTTGCAATGCACAGGAGGCCCACATAATTATATTGCAAAGATATGATCAAAAATATAGAAATGTTGTATTTTCTGTGTTGACTTTATCTGAGAAAAAATGGACTTACTGCCTTTCTAGAGAGGAATCGGTTGAAATCGATCCTGATAAAAGGCATTAAGTCCGCAATTCCCTCAGAAAAGGCATTAAGTCCAATGCGGATGGGAAAATAGTTCAGTTATTCTGGAGGAAAATGGTTTTTGTAGATCAGTGTTGGTGAATTTATGCATTTAAGCATGTTTAGGACATATGACAATAATTTATTTACAAATAGATGTCAAAATTAACCCCGTTTATGCGAATAAAATTACTTAAAAAACGACGAACACGTTTGTCCCATTTTCTCAAAATGACATCGATGTGACTTAATGCGTTTTCTCAGGGAACGGCAGTATAGTAGGTGCAAATCTCGTAAATTTTTGTCTTGACACGTGACATATATTCACCTGTCTAGTCAAAAGAACAGGTAGGCGTGTTTAATGCTGATCATATTGAGGAGAAGATTGTAATTTTCTTATGATTTATGGACACGTTCATTGAAGTTTGAGGAAATTGGTAAATTTCTAAAACAGCGTTTTTAACGATAGTGGTTTAATTTTAACATATATTAATCTAGCGTGTTCATAAGTTCTGAACATTAGCCACGTGACCCATACTCCCATATGCACTGCTCAAAAATAAAATGTATTGCTTTTAGGCACTATTATGTAAAGAATGTCACATTTTTGTGACATTGTTTACCATAGCTGCCCAATTAGCATTTTTTGGTCTAAAATATAGTAGATTAGGTCAATCTAACAATTATGATACAATGTAGGCCTAAAGGGCAGTGATCGAACGGCTTTAAGGCAACATTTCGTAAACTTTGTCACACTCAGAATACGAGACCTCTTTTCTACTGTGAGGTGTCCTCAAAACCCTTTCAACTCATTATTTGATAGTTCTTCTGCCAATCATAGCCATAAAATATGTTGTTTTGAAAAGTTAACAAATACATGCACTTGGCTATTGGGAAATGATGTAAATTCTGTCACATTATATGGAATTTGAAATTCTGGGTGAATTTCCGAAATCATTTATATCTGATTTTGGTTTGGAAGGCGGGAAAACTCTATATATGAGGACGATACACGGATACAGTTGATTGAAGTATAGGGCAGTTGATGTAAACATCGTCACAAAATGATACGAAATCGTAAATGGACACGTTCATGTTGAAGTTTAAGGATATTGGTAAACCAAAAAATATAGCGTGTTCAGAAGTTCTGGACATTAGCCACGTGACCCATACTTCCATATACACGGCTCAGAAATACAATTTATTGTTTTTAGGCACTACAATGTAAAAAATGTCACATTTTTGTGACTGTGTTAACCATAGCTGCCCAATTAGCATTTTTTGGTTTAAAATATAGTAGATTAGGTCATTCTAACAATTTACAATTATGATACAACATTTGGCTAAAGGGCAGGGATCGAACGGTTTTAAGGCAATATTTCGTAAACTTTGTCACACTCAGAATACGATACCTCTTTTCTACTGTGAGGTGTCCTCAAAACCCTTTCAACTCATTATTTGATGGTTCTTCTACCAATCATAGCCCTAAAATATGTTGTTTTGAAAAGTTAGCAAATACATGCACTTATTGGGAAATGATGTAAATTCTGTCACATTATATGGAATTTAAAATTCTGGGTGAATTGCCGAAATCATTTATATCTGATTTTGGTTTGGAAGGCGGGAAAACTGTATATAAGGACGATGCACGGATAGAGCTGATTCAAGTTAAGGGCAGTTGATGTAAAAATTGTCACAATAATAATAAGGGCAGTTGATATGAAAAAAAATCTATCTAACTAATGCAATGGCTGATGTGACGAAATTTACATATCTTGACCCTATTTTGAAGAAACATGCCTCGATTAGAATTCAATATTCTTCCAGGAATTATTAGTAGGTTATTATTCAGCAAATCAGAACTCAAGTTTAACAATTCTGAGTTTAATTTTACTAAGTTACCGAGATGTGACGAAATTCACTTTTCCTGCCCCAACAGTATAATTTCAATGTGATGAAAAATGGGCATGGGTTCAATATTTCCTTATCTCTGAATTAATCATTTCAAACTATAATTAGGACTGTTGATGTGAAAGAAAGTGTATCTAAATTTTACAATGACGTATGTGACAAAATTTACATTTCTTGACCCTATTTTGAAGAACCATACCCCGATTAGAATTCAATATTCTTCCATGAATTATTAGTAGGTTATTATTCAGCAGATCATCAGAACTCAAGTTTGACAATTCTGAGTTTAATTATACTAAGTTACCGAAATGTGACGAAATTCACTTTTTCTGCCCAAAAAGTATAATTTCAATGTGATGAAAAATGGGCATGGGTTTCTATATTTCCTTCATCTCTGAATTATTCATTTCAAACTATAATTAGGACTGTTGATGTGAAAGAAAATGTATCTAAATTTTACAATGACGTATGTGACGAAATTTACATTTCTTGACCCTATTTTGAAGAACCATACCCCGATTAGAATTCAATATTCTTCCAGGAATTATTGGTAGGTTATTTTTCAGCAAATCAGAACTCGAGTTCAACAATGCTGAGTTTAATATCACTAATTTACCGAAATGTGACGAAATTTACTTTTCCTGCCCCAACAGTATAATTTCAATGTGATGAAAAATGGGCATGGGTTTCTATATTTCCTGTATAAATCCATTCCAACTATAATAAGGGCAGTTAATATGAAAGAAAATCTATCTAACTAATGCAATGGCTGATGTGACGAAATTTACATTTCTTGCCCCTATTTTGAAGAATCATACCTCAATTAGTATATAATGTCACTTTATCACCATCACTATGTCGATAAATTAGTTATTTTGCCAACACGGAGCAAATAAAGTTGTAATATTTTTTTTGTGACGAAATTTACAAATTTTTACCCTGTTCAGGTGTTGAAATTTATCCAATGTTAACATATCACTGCCATATAATAATTTATATGACCGGCGTTTGGTTGAAATATTGTTAATTGATTCATAGTACGTAATATAGGGTGTTTAAGTTGGTATACTAATATTTACTCAATTTCACACATGTTGAGATATCATACAAATTTATGTGACTAAATTTACCTATTTCTGCCTTCTGTATTTGTATTTGCCTATAACAATGAAATATGTGAACAATTCCAAACACATTCAGCTCACAAAATAATGCTAGACTATTCGGCATTTCTTGTCAGGATGTCATAAACATCCCTCATATAAATTTCTTAAATGTGTGACGGAGTTTACATGGTGCTACCATTTAAGGAAAAAAGTCGCTAAATATGTAGATAATAGTCATATACAGCTATTCTATGAATTGGAAATTCGAAAATTTGGTCAAACACGGCAACAAGGGGTCCATATAAACTCCGTCACGTTTTTATAGTGTGACAAAGTTTACAACTCACTGCCGGCCGCATTTAAGCGATATCTTATCGTCTGATAAAGATATCGTTATGCGACAAAGTTTATCTAGAGGATGAAACGATTATCTTAGGGTTAGAGGGTTTATATAGTTTCATAGTGTGACACATTTTACATCATCGTGCCATTCAGTAGGGTCACTAATATTTACCAATATCCTCAAACTTCAATGAACGTGTCCTTATACCTTCTCCGGCAGATTATATGAATGATGCATTTTCTAAAATGTTGCAAGTTGATGAAGATTTCCTTTGTATTCCTGTCGGAAATTTGCGGTGCATTGAATTGGGGTCGTTCACGTATTACGTAATCAATATTTTAGCAATTTCTACCCCGTCCCCTCTCCGTAATCAACCGTAATCAAGACCCAACCCCCCCCCCCCCCCTCCTGACAGCAATATTACGTAATCATGGCCTGACCCCCCCCCCCCTCCCCCCCCTTTGACTTTTTCCTGGAAATAATTTTTTTAAACGTTTCATGCTACCGGCCTAATCATGTTGAGCCGAAATAATTGTCATGATATCCGGCCAAGCACCTTTCAAACTACTTACTATATAGTCGGGTATCCGATCAATTTCTAAATTTTATCACTATCAGAGTGAAATTGAGTGGAATTTGAATTAAAATATTGTCAAATTGTTATTATTCTAGGGGGTAAAAAAGAAAATTTTGATTACGTAATCAACGACCAAACCCCCCCCCCCCCCCCCCATAATCAACCATAAGCATTTGGAATCCCCCCTCGGGTGATCACGTAATAATAATATGTAAACGACCCCATAGGTATTAGGTAGTTTTGGGGGGTTATTCGTCGCGAATGATTAGTGATTATGTATTTCGTTACCTCCATCATTCATGACAAAACTGACGAGACTTATTTCAATCCAAAAAAACAAAACCGATGGTGCGTACCCCAGTATCGCTTTCATCATTTATAGAAATTGTGAACTTGGAATTTATACTCGTATCATCCGTCCGCGTCAACTAGAATCGCTAAAAAATAAACATCCAATCTCTTTAAATATCGTAAAAGTCGAAATATTTACAATTATTATACAGTTAGTTGTACAATCATAATACTTTTGGAACCCATTCAAAACAAAAGGTAGACTACTCGCCCACAAGTATCGATCACAATCGTAATCATATCATGTATAATATCATCGCATTAATCAATATGCTGTGCTTGGAGCTGGACAATGGACATGTGATTACGTTTGCAACAATTCTAAAATCTCTGAACATTTTTGCAAGTCCTTCGTTTGCACAATTCAGCTAAAAAGAAATTTACAGTGGCATACTTATCGAAATCGAATATAAAAGAGATGCTGACGAGGCTGTCTAAAATAACAAATAATAAAATCACTAAAACCTTTGAACTTAAATACTCTTGATTAATGATTATTTAATTGGTTAATTACACTTCTAATTAAATATCTACATCATACAGCCCCCAAACGATTTCCAACTTTGTTATCGTTTCCATGGCAACATGAACTCCTTTTGGCAGCGTATTCTTTGAAGTTAGCTCCTTCGAGTCGTTTCATTGTTTCGTTGAGGGCGTAAATCTGAAACATTCATTAGTAAATATAACAGGGAATTTTATAGTAACATACTGATACTACGTTAGGGGTTCACATATTACGTAATCAGCCGAGGGGGAAGGGGGGTTTCCAAATGATTACGCTAGTGTAATTTTGACACAATAGCTATGTGTAAACCTGGTTACGGAGGGTGGTAATACTAATAAGTAATATGTGAACGACCCCTTATCACTGAGAGGGAGAGGGCTTTCTAAAAGATTACACCAGTTTAATGAAAGTATCCAGAGAAGTAACCCTTCCCTCCTCAATGATTACGTAACATTATGTGAACGACCCTGAAAAGGTATACAATAGTCAAAACGACAAAACAGTGCTCAAATTAACGGCTTTTCAGTCAACCCTGGCAAAATATTCCCAGGCATATAACAGCCAAACGGTTATTAACTGAGCTTATAACCCACTTCGTTTCTCTGGGTGATTTTGAGCAACTCTTGTTCTCTTCTTTCAGCTATTACTCGCCCTTTCCTCTTTTCGAGCTCATCCTTCTTCCTCTGCTCGTCCCGAAACTTAACTGAAACAATAACGTTCTCGGTATTTCACATGATCGAGGCTGCACTGTATTCGGTGGCTTTTAGTTTTACTAATTCGCTCACCCAAAAATTATCACGTGACTTTAGTTTTTATGGTTTTGCAGCCGAACAAAACGGTTTTACAATTACATAAACCCTAATCCTAACCCTAAAGCTATCCATAACCCTAACCCTATAACCCGAGCCCTAAACAATCAAATTCGTGTTTTACTAGCCTGTCAAGTGTCACGTGACCAAAACAGTTTTTTCCCATAACTTTCCAGGGAAGCATTTTTATCCGACGTCATGGGGGTGATTCGGAATCAGCGTCCAAAAATACACCGAACAAGATTACTTGTATACCTTCAGGGCCTTTTCACAAGAACTTTCTTAAAATTTGGGCGAGCGATTTAGTGGGAGGGCCAGGGGTATTCGGTTAATAACGCGATCGTCCTGTATCTAAATTGAAGGGTGGGATGATAAAACTAACAATGACCAGGAACACCTTGTATTCTTATCCTGAGGTTCCCATCATTCTCTTCTTAATAAGAATATTGGGCTTCACATATTACGTAATCATTTTTTGGAACATTTTTACCCCCCCCCCCCCCCCCCCTCCGTAATCAGTTTTACACATGGCTATTGTGTCAAAATTACACTAGCGTAATCATTCGGAAACCCCAACCCCCCCCCCCCCCCCCCCCCCTCAGCTGATTACGTAATATGTGAACATTATTGTAGAACATACAGGGTGGGCCAAAAGTCAGTGTGCAAACGTTGGCCGTAATAGCTCAGTCACTGAGTGCCCAATTGAAATAATTTGTTCTGGTATGACTTACTACCACCACTGGTTCGAGAAATTTGTCAAATCGAAACATATTTGTGTTCATTTTTTTCAAAAGAAGGTTCATTTTCACATTTATTTGATAGTTTGGATAGTCGGATCGAGCCAAATTTTATTGAATTGTGTTTGGCCATTTAAATTACGTTTGCCCTGAAAAAATGAGAGTTCTAGCTTCTCAGATGACCGAGATATGAACCTTAACGAGGTTATTCATTACGTGTGATCAGGTGATTGGTTTACCTAATCACGTGATTAGGTGACCCCGTTAACCACCCCGTTAAACATTATGGGAATCGTGAAGGCTGCCCAATTAAGGTGTCGTGTCGCGGTGTCACATAATCACCCAGTCAATTTTGTTAACGATATACAGAAAATGCTTGATAACTTCGTCATTTCTAATCCGTTTTGCCTCATATTTTCAGATCATATGCAACATTTAATAATCTACCGTCTCTGAAAAAATTAGGCGTTCAGCATGTTCAGAGAAAACAATATAGGTGTTTTAATATTGAATGGGCGTGGTCTAAAATATTCGAATTTTCAAATTTTGGTGACGGAATCCTCGAACCAGAAGGTACAGTAAACCATCTGCAAAGCAACAACCCTCAAATATAAAACACGGCGGAGGTATAAGACCCAACGTTTGCACACTGACTTTTGGCCCACCCTGTAGTAACAGTGAGTACTGAGTAAGTTACTTAATTATTCAATTATCCGATGGGTAGGCACTTATTATTGCGATGTTCAACCTGTCCAAATTTTATTAACTTTGGTTGTTAATGTTATCTATATCGGATCACAGATTCACCTGAAGTATCTGAACACTAAGATTTTAAATGTTCATTGGAAGTACAAACCTAGCTCGTGTTTTGGAACATGGGATGTAACTAGGCGATTGTGTAGCTTATTGAACAGCTTAGACTGTTTAGAAATTACCATCAACTGATAAAATTTGTTTACTTTTAGCTCGCAGGGGAACAGAAAAATTGCTGCTTTAAAATCATGGAAGACTTACGACAGATTTGATACATATCAATTGGTATCAAATGAGATTGAATTATGTCAACTTTAATGTGAAAATCATTAAAAGCGGAATCTTAAATGCATTAAAACAACTATGAACTGAAAGTTTAAAAGAAGCAATGACGGCCGGAGAGTAGCTATGAGCTATACAAAAAAAACTGTGAGCGAGTAGTCCGCGAGGAAATTTTGTTCTGCTTGTCAATAACTGCAGTTGAAATAAGTTGTATTATTAAAATTGCCTTTCGTTCTCCGGCTCAATATGGCAAGATGTGGTCAGATTCGACGTGAGAATTTGATGGCGCTCATTCAATTTCTCAGAATGTTCCATGTCATACGAGCCACATTGCATTATATCACGAGTCGATTACGACCAATCACGATTTTTCGACGGGCTAACACTTAATCTAACGAAAACCTGTTCACTGTTGACGCGATGATTGATGAATGGAGATTGTTCATTGTTGTAAGATTTAAAGGTAAGGTATAAGCCAATGAAAACATTTCTAATTTCTCAGCACTTTGAGCTTATAATTTATTACACGGTGGGGGACATATGATTTAAAGATTACTTGAGTAATAGGTGGAAATTAACCGGAACCTTCTTAAACTCATGTAAGTGTAAAGTGAGTGACAACTAAGGGCGGTTGCTATGGTAACAGCGCGTGAGCTATGCATGATGCTGCTAAATTTGGCTAAAACTAGCTAAAATTCGTACGTGCGCGTCTTATCGGAGACAAAAATTCTGATGCGCCTTCCTTATTCAAGTTAATGTAGACCTCTTTAGCGCTACAGCGTGGAAAAGAAAGAGTGATTCATCGCATCTAACTCTGGTTTCTTTTCAATGCATTATTTGTCACATAGTGTTAAAATAGATGAGATATAGAGTAAAACTGCAGACTGTTCAGTGTTTAGTCTCAAAGCATATTTTGAAGGTACAATCTTTGACGCGATCATTACCATTATTGAGAAGTGCCATCGAAAATAAAATTTAATAACGACGTATTTGCAGTACTTAGTACTTACCTATTTCACTTAGCTTCGTTGTGAGCCTTCTTTTTCCTTTAAAATCTGCAAGACACTGCACGTATTGGACTTTCTCCAAATATTCTGAAACGAAACAAAAATATTTATTTGATAGTATAAAGTTAAACCTGTAAGTTTTAAAACCTTGATAATAATACCTTTAGGCGCATCATTTGAATTGACAGCTATTAGTAATAAGAATGACAAATAAAATGAGAAAATAAAAAATGGGTAATAAACCAGTGGTAGGTGTAGCGGGGGGTACCCCCATGAACCCCTGGCCTCTACGTTCCCATTTGTTGATACCTTCACTCAGATAAATTTTAGGTTTGCAGTTTTTTGCTTCTCCGTAAGTGTGTTCACTCTTGGGAGTTCCGGTCGAATCTACAGAGGGGGAGTTGTGGTAATTCTTTATACGGGATCTATTCTGCTCGGATGTAGGTTGTTTTTAAAATTGGTGAAATTAAGAGTACCGAGTAAAGGTGTAACAAATTTGTTTTGGTATGTGAAAACTATCAAACAAGTAGCCTATATTACTGAGACGTATATAAAAGTACGGTCAGATAAACTATAACTTATATATATAGCTAGTAAGTAGCATAAAAGTAAGTTACCGATGTTTCTGCAATATTTTATAACTCTCTTTATGACAACCTCATCAAAACTACTCGAGCCAGGAAGAGAGTTGAAACCTGAAAAAAATATCATTCTTGAAAGGTTCACAGTTTCAACCGTACCATCTGTTTAAAGCATTCAAATGTTCAAATTAAAGAATCACCCATTTCCTACGAAGTGAGGGGTAGTGTAACTAAGGAGTGTAACTAGGGTTTCTCTACCTCTGGTTAAGGAAAAAATATCATAGGGAATAAATTTATTACGAAAATTTCATCACACAGGTTTCAAATAGGATAAATTTCACTCGATTTCAGGAATATATGGTATATTGATTAGGAGGAGACCTCTTCATGTAGCATGTATGTATAATGATTACCCGGTGCTCAAATTCAGCCACTTCAAAAAAGGTTCCTTAGTAGCATCCTGATAAACTGATGTTCAGCACTGAGCTGAATGGTATTAAGCGATAATGGTTATGCACGCAAAACAAAATCGCGATGGCCACGTGTGTCACTCTCCACTCTCAAATGCAACTATACTTCCAATCTAAATAATTGATTTACAAGGTAAATGCCAATTGTACTGGTACATTGTACTACAACTACTTACTAAATTGTAGGGAAATTTGATCTTGCGTGGTGTAACCACGGCGAAATTCTACGAAATGAGGGTTAGACAAAAATGGAGAAGCTACCAATAAAATTACATTTTCGGGGAGCTTTGTCCTTGTTTGTGGGTAGGGATTGATCCGGAAGTGACTTGTGTCTTCTTAGAGAAACACTAGTAGTAGTAGTCTCTGCTCCTGTAATATATTAGTATGGTTATTTAAACATAGTAAATTATATTGTTATCAATTACATAGTTTTAATAAGTTTATTATAATTACATGGTTGTTGGTTATTTAATTTTAATGCTTTTCACTTTTTTGATAGATTACTGGGGAGAGTCTTTCATTTGGTTATTACTAAGTCTTAGTAATCAAATTACTGAGGTTTTTCTTTCATTACTTCAGATCTGATGGTAAAATAATATTAGAGGGCCCCCAATTATCAGAGGTGATCAGATCATGTATAATTAGTTATGTCATCAGTAGAATTTAATTGACCTAGAAATGGGCTAGATATATAATAGGGTAGAGATATAGAGAATCTTACTATATATAAAGCGAGACGATTATATATATATATAGGTATGTCTGTTGCCATGGCCCATTTTACTGACACCACGGCATCAGCTTTAACACGACTTTCCACAAAAGCCGTGAGAGATAAACAATTGAAACTTTTTTGGGTGGGTCGAATGCTTTTATAATGGCCTTTTTATCAGTATGAAGAAATTTGCCAAGGAATAAGAACTTTAGGTCCCAAAATGTTGACCCCCAAGTGGTGTCAAAATCGCGAAATAAATAACTATTGCACATGCAGTCTCTTTAGAGTTAGACGGGTTCCTACTAGTATTTGTAATGTTTCGACATCAGAATTACTAATAATACCCAGCTCTAGATTAAGCTGTAAAATTAATTATAAAGTTATAACTAAATTAATTATAACTAAATTAATTATAACTAAATTAATTATAACTAAATTAATTATAACTAAATTAATTATAACTAAATTGATTATAACTAAATTAATTATAACTAAATTGATTATAACTAAATTAATTATAACTAAATTAATTATAACTAAATTAATTAAGTAGATTAATTAATTAAAATACTCACTGCGGATCCGACTCTTAGTCTTCTTAGGAGGTGTAACAGTAGCGGGAGCAGTGAATCCGGGAAATGTAGTGCTCTTTCTACTGGACACTGTCTTTTGCCCTGAAGCGGAAATAACAAATAGAAACACAGCATTCCGAGACAAGCTGCCAGTGCAGCAGGAAACAGTGAAAAACGTTTAGGGAATTGATTAATTAAATATATTATGTACGGGTATATGCCTCCCATAATGTATACTGTTTTTCCGGCCTCTCTCATTACATGCTCACCATGATTGATTTAGAATCAAGAAGACTGTGTTGATACCTTATTTGAACTCTTCATTATTCTTCCCGGGGGTTTACAAAATTGTAGAATGAAATTTTTACCAATTTTCAGTTCGTACAAAATCTATTTACCCTATGCCTCCCAGAATGTAGGTCAACTATATTTTAGATTGAAGTCTTGGAAGAGCATTCCCATGTGTATGCTTTTCAGGGTGGCATCTCAATAGTTTTTCCAACAACGGTACATCGTGTTTATTAAAAATCAGAAATTGTATCAGAGAATATTTTGCGACGAATGTCAACCATGCCTCCCAAAATGCATATCAGCACAAAAAATGTATTTAAAGTGTCCACTAAGACAGTACTGATTCAGCAGCACAGTACTGTTTTAGTGGACACTTGGTGGTTCATATTGCTTCTTATACCATATCATCAGATTGAGTAGCAGGTGAGTTGTACCAGGTGGGTTGCATAGAGGTTGGACACATCTTATCCATCGTAGAAAACCGGGGTTCCAAGGTCCGAAATAAAAAATGGATGTTTCCAAAAAATCCCCGTAGATTCTCAAATGTTTCCATTTTTTACAATCTTTTCAAGTCATTTCGGACCTCGGAAACCCGATTTTCTGCAACGGATCAGATGTGTCCAACCTCTATGCAACTCACCCAGTACCAAAATATGTCAAAAAGGGAATTCCAGAGACCAGAATTTTGGGAGGCATGTGATTCGCATTATGGGAGGCAAGTATGTTTTTTGAAATAATTTTTTTTCGTGTTAAATTATAAGTCTCCCTGCTTTCAAAATAATGCAATTATCATACATCTAAACTATTGAATAGCCAACTTTGATTATTGGGAGAGGATACGAGTGCCTATATTGAAAGACATTATTGCAAGACCGCTTAAAATAAAGTTTGGGGTTGAATTGTGCGCATATGTAATGAATTAAAATTTGTAAACCTTTCGGGAAGAACGTAATGAACACTTTCGAGTAATCTGAAGTGATAATCAGAAGCAATAAGTACTTGATACATAAATCAGAAGAAAAAAGTAAACATATACATTCTGGGAGGCGCTGTTTTATGGGAAGCATATACCGGTAAGCCAGATTTTGTCCAAATAAAGGTTGTGGTACACAAGGAAAATGGTTATTAAAGTGGAGAGCTGCAACTTGTCAACACATTATAGGGATAAATCGGGCCAACTTGTATATTTGGTCGGTTTGCATTTGTCACTGCAAAGTTCAAGACTCAAGTGAATCGAATGATTGAAAAGTGAATGCAATTGTGATTTTAAAAATGAAAAAATGGTCCTTCTAATACTTTATTTAGATTCGTAAAAACATTCAAACTTGTGATATAAAATTAATAGCAAAGTAAGATTATTTATATTGGCAAATAAGGTGGCAAAGTAAGACGTTAAAGAATTGTAGTGGCAAAATAAGGACTCTGATTTCTTCCATGATAGATAGAAAACTATGAAGTTCATCAGATCAAAACTATATCTGAGCGCGGCTTGTTTTCTTTTGTACAAAGTTCACAATTTGTTTACAGAGAATCAAAGGTTTTATGTATCATAAACAAACATGTTATACATTGACAATTAAAGATGTGTTAACAAGATAATATACTGAAAATAAATGAAATAGATGTGCAGTGGTGAAACGTGCCGCCTCCCCCACTAAATTTTTCCCTACCCTCAAAAAATCTTTCTAATGTACATGTCCTAAGAAAAGTCAGGCCTTCTTTCTTGCCGCCCCCTACAGCTTCTTCCGGGATAATTGTCGTTACACCACTGGCTGAATATAAGAAATAAAACAATATACGTACACAAACACGGTGCTTTTGAAGGTTTATAGGGAGGTTCTCTGGAATTCAATAACACACTTTTAGTCGTGATAAGCTTCAGATCAGGAGATAAGAGCCCTGCAATTGGGATACAATTGAAAGAAAGAAACTGAGCCCTCCAGTTCAAGTAAACTTGGATACATTTCAATGAAACAATAAGTTTTTCAATGAAACGTTAGGTTTTATTTTACATTCCTTTAATCGTAACCGTTTCTATAAAATTATCTTTCAAAATTCCACTTCGCAACTTAGGCAATGCTGAGTGGCAGGAATGAGGGACCGAAACGCTTGGGGTTAACAACGGCACATTTACAAACCACTTTGGGCATGACAATGATATATTATTTAAGGTTTGTCTAAAACTGTATCATACCAGGACACCTTATTTGGAAAATTTCTGGAGTTGGGTGTTTTACTGTGAGGGGAAGAGTTACTGGGGCTTATTATAGAAACCTGATCTGAACAGTGAAAAACATTTAACACAGGATGTAAAGCCTACCTGCAGTACTTTTTCTCAAATTCAGCAGAGAGTTATTGTTTTTTGAATTCGGTGGCATCCCCACAAAAAACTCATGATACTCCCCGAATATCTGGCGGGCTATCTGAGCGTCGATCTTCAAACTAGCAAATGACACAGATGGTGCAGTGCTGAAGCATTGCTAAACATGAAACATTTCAGTTTGAACTGGAGTTTTTTACAGCTTTATGCCTCCTCGATCGATAAACAATTGTTTTTAACTAAACTTATGTGCCAACGAAGTAATTAATCAACAATCGGATTTTTCAAAAACAGCTACAATCTGCAAATTCATGTTCGTAGAAACTTATCTTAAGGGGGCATACACCAAACTTTTGATAGGAATGTGCTAGTGACTTTTTGAAGGGTGCAAAATCACCGCAACTAGCACATTTATATATGAGGTATGAACAACAAAACACCCTAAAATGCTTCCCTTTGAAGTTATGGGAGAAAATGTGAATTTTTGGCTTTGCAGATAAAAAATGACTTTGTTTAAAAACGAAAAATGTGCCTAAATTTTTTGTTTGGCTTTGAGGTCCAATAGATCTGAAGAAAAATGAGTAAACACATTTTTGAGGTCATCAAAAACTGCGCCAGAATTCAGAGAACAATTTCATCTCAAACATCAAAACAATCCGATCTTCCCTGACTAGACTGACCTTTTGGTTAAAATAAGCATGAAAAGGACAATTTCAGCTTTTTGACTTTACAAATTTATAACACACCAGCCTTTTTAGATACGATATCAAGATTTTACACACACCTTGAAATAGATGTGAATAGACGGCAAGCAAAATTTCAACCCGATACTGCAAGAAATGATTAACTTATTATAGCCTCTCCATGAAACAAATTGTGTTTTTCCGAAAATTCCACTCTAACCAGGAGATACTTGATCACAAAAATGGGTATTCTCAAAATAATTTTGTTTGATGTGGAAACGGTGCGCTAGATGGTCACTGAACTGCCTATGAGGTCATTTGGGCTGGACAGCACTAACCACTGTTTTGGTGTATGCCCCCTTAAGGATCTTACCATTATGCATTAAATAATATCCAAAAATTATTCAATACAGTAAAACCCTGATTAAAGCTGCGGTAAATCAGGGTTTGCGGTAAATCAGGGTTTTGAATATTCACATTAAAAATGACAAGCACACTTAAGCTTAGGGGGAAGAAAATTGCTGCAGTAAACCGGAGTTAGCGGTTATCAGAAATATAAATAAATAAAATACCATTCCTTAACAGTGCTAGCTAAAACACCTTTCAGCAAACTCTAACTTCCAAAATATGGCATTTATCCAGTAACTTAATTATCAGTATACAATTATAGGACAAATTTTAGTAATTCATGATTTATTCCATCAATTCTAAATCAAATATTTGATGGGGATCTTTGTTAAGTCTTAAATACTCATGCAAACCAATTTGTTTGTTTACCATCATGTAAACTTTGGAAGCCTCTAAGCTTATTATACATTTTATGCATCATTTTCATTCCAAATCTTTGAAATAAGAAGTAAATATATTTGTGAGTAGTAGAACATTAGTGCTTTTTAAAAGTTACAATTATAAACATGCTTAAAATTAAAAAATAAAATGCTGCACTGTTGAACTGTATCCTTACACATTTCTCTCGATTTTCCCAACAAAGTTAACATCATTCTCTGGCACCATATCGACAAACTGTTATAATTTATTTTTAGAGCGGCTCTAGAAATGAAGTTCTATGAATAGTAGCTAGCTGCAGCTACCAGGTAAAACACTGAGTCAGTAAAATAAATTTATCACTTTTATGCCAATTTTATAGAATAATATTATCTTTACAAATCAATTTAGGATAATTTTTGAAAACCAGTTGCAGTCATACTGCATTTTACTGCCATTCTTGGGGAAGGTCAATTTAAGACGATTTTACTGATCATAATCAAAAATCCTCTTTTTATTTAGAGTTCCCAGTATATCAGAGAATTACTGTTATGTTTTGAATATTATGAGCTACTCCACAAATTAAACAATGTTTGCTATTTCTTCATAATAGTCTAATAAATATCACAAAAATACCCCGGGCACACATTAGAGGTTCTGTTTATAGTTGTTACTATGGGTTGCAGTCTTGTTGTGACAGAAATTCTACACTATAATATGCTTAAATTTATATTGCGTGATTTGATTTGCATAATTCAAAAAGTTTAGGACAGTATACTCTATTCTCCATACAACATTATTATTTATAAGTACGCCTGTCCTTTACCTGTAATTGCATATCTGACAAAATTGAAAAATGGACATTTAACATCTTAACTAGGAGAAAGATGTTAAAAATGAAATTGCGCTCAGCCTGTCATTCCGCTGAATCTCTATGTTTATGAACATTATTATGTTACAGCCTGGGCCGGGGTCCCCAGGTAAAGTCCTCCTGCAATGGAGACCGACTCACAAAGACTATGCCATATGCTGGATTCCGAAAAGGGAGACTCTCTCTGCACAAAAAGTTTACGAAAACCTAGAAAGTGTACTAACTTCAAACAAGTGAGGGATCGTTCACAGATTACGCTATCGCTGATATTAGGGGATCAGGGAGGGGTTTGTTTAATGATTACACTAGTGTAATTTCAAAACAATAGTTATATAATTATGTATTCAACTAATTATTAATCCCAAAACTGAACTTATTGTAATGTAATCTGAACATTTTTTCCACCCTCACCACTCCACCCTTTCACATCACACCCCACTCATCACTGACACCACTACATCATATATAATCACCCTTCACAACATCATCCTCAGTTGAAAACGATTTACACAAGTATTTTGAAAGCTCCTGCTAATACAATCTTTCGTATCACTTATATGTTTTAAATATCCCCCTCCAGGCTGAACTTATCAATTCCAAAACTGTACTTTAATAAAACAAAATGTTCCCTAAACATTCTATTTGACTCTCTAATAAAACCGATCCTGCTCTATGGCTGCCAAATCTTATGTCCCCACTCAAAAACCATGAGATACCTCTCCAAAACAGATAGCAAAGCCAACCCCCAGCATACTCTCAAGTACATCTCACAAGACCACTATGAAGGGGGGGTACCACTGTCCATTTTGTCCATTTTGTCTTTGTCTTTTTTTACATTTTTTTGTGAAGGACAGTGTTTTGGGGACAAAATGGACAATACTAGGGACAAAAGGGACAAAAATGTTGGACAAATGAGACAAAAAATTAGACAAGCTCAAATGTAGAGAATGTATATATTCTACTCGACATCAACAATTTAGATTTTCATGTCAGTGTTTTGCTGTACTTAGAATCAACTGAAACCACTGAAGGGACTGAAATAAGCAGAATTCATCAACGGCATCACATAAATAAATGTGTACACGGTTCAGTCAATATTTCATTAATCCCATTAATCAAGTGGTGCAGTGATATCAAAAAAGTCATCATCTTTTAATATCATAACGCTCATAGCGGCCAGAAGCAGATACCCAGACCCACACAATTACTTTTCCATTAACAATATGCCGACAATATCGAGCTAATGGGTATTCGCTTTTTCCTATGAAGTAGGAGAAAAAGCATGCCCGTCCTCTAATCAAGATTTTCTTATTCCTCCTCTTTTTCCTGAACATTTGTCTCGTTTGTCCCTGTCCTTTTTGTCCATTTTGTCCATTTTGTCCATTTTGTCCCTGTCTTTTTGTCCATTTTGTCCCCGTCTTTTTTGTCTTTTTTGTCTTTTTTGTCCCTATTATCTTTTTTGTCCCTCTTGTCCCTTTTGTCTTTGTCTTTTTTCAGTTTTTTTTGTGCAGGGATAAAATGGACAGTGGTACCCCCCCCCCCCCCCCCCTATGAAAGATTCCACCTTAAGTTTATCAAGTGGTCCTTGTCTGTCCATTCAAAAGCATCAAATATAGGCTGCTGGGGCGAAAGTGGGCGCCACCCCCTCTTCTTTGAAGCCTGCAAACTTGCAATAGATTTCTATAGTCGCCTTAAAAGCACTGAAAATGAACTTCTCTCCGCTGCATTTCATGAGCAGATTATGCTGGGCCTTCCTTGGTACACCAACATCTCCAATCTTCTCACCAAATATAACTTCCCCCACTCATCCTCTTCAAAATCCAAGCTCTCTACCCAAATCAGTCACAACATGAGGGAAGAATTTGTGGATACCTGGAAATCTGCCAAGGCATCCTCACCTAAATTAGAATTCTACAATCAAATTAAACATGATTTTGAACCAGAAACATACTTAGGAGTGGTTAAGATCCCTGATGCTCGGAAAAGCTTAACAAGGTTTCGTTTTAGCTGCCACAATCTTTACATTGAGAGGAGCCGTTACGAAACCCCCCTAGTACCATCGATGGTGCACTTTCTGCTTTTTCAGCAAGGGGCTTAAGTCTATTGAGGACGAAATACATGTTCTAACTGACTGTTTACTCTACTCCTCAGTTAGAGAAAAATGTAACTTCCACCCCAAAAATATTACTGACCTAGCTGGTTTGCTATCCGATAAAACACTAGACCCTACAAAATTTACTGCCACAGCAAGAGCAATCCATTCAATTCTCTCTGTGAACGAACATTTTACAGCCTACTATAATAAGAGCCCAGACTTCCACTCAAATACTGGCCAATGCATAATGCTATCGGACCTCAAAATAAGATCGAAATCTACAAATCCGATCTATTCATAGAAAAATAGTATTATAAAACATTTCTATTTCATCCCTACACATTTGTAAATGACTAGAATTGTGTAACCTTAAATTATTTCAGAATTATAACTATTGTGAATTCAATAAAATAGTTATCACTTTTGTATCCTTGTATCCTTGTATCCTTGTATCCTATAAAACAAAATTTTATTTTATACCCACAATCAATTTATTTTTAGTCAAAATAACCATTTCACAGAAGTTGTTTATTAAAATAAAACCATTTGTAACAAGTGTATAAATTAATAAATGTTAATTTAATTTGATGTAAAACAAACTCTTTTGATTAACATGCGTCAGCCGCGCGCCGAAACAGCGTTGCAAATCGTAAAAATTGTGTCTTTATTTGTCAAATGTTGAGTGTAAATTAATTTGTTTCGGATCCGGAAAAGTCAATGCAGCACTCGGGTCCTTGGTATTGTCGTCGGTATATTGTCCATTATCTACGTTCTGCTTTCATAGTTTAAACAATAGTGAGTTCTAAATATACAGCTTTAAACCGATTAAGTATGAATGAATGAAATACCTGACAATCCGCACTCCTATAATTCAAAAGCATGAGTAACTCGTAGTGATG